ATCGAACAAAGAGATAGTAATATTAATTTATGTTTTAAACTTGGGAAAACTTTTAATGAAACGCTTTAATTAATTATTCGAATTTATGATGATGAAAACATTAATCTGTGTGTGCATTCATATAAGAACAGCCAAACTCTTTATTCAATGTAATGAACTGCAATTGGGCATCTAAGAAGATTATTCGATCATATTTTAACCACATATTTGTGCTACCGAAAATAAATTGTATACAAATTAACAGACACTTAAAAATTGCTCTCATCCAACGAGACCGATTTTACAGAGTTTATTTGGCTAAAAATGTGATTGTAACTCGGATATAATTCATGTGATAGATTTTAATATTTCGATAAAATACACTTCCCAATGAAGGGAAAGCGTTTATGGTCGAATAATCTATCCAAAAGCCATGTAGTGACGTCTTAAAAAACCGTCACACATTAATTGCAATAACTCTGCTTCTATTCCTCACAGTGCTAATAAATTTTGTCGTTAATAAATGAATAATTTTTTATTTGGGTAATCAATGTAAACATTGCTTGGTGGTACTAAATTTTGTTTGTAGTTTTTGTTAAAGCAATGTGAAAATCTTACAACTTTAAACCTCGATATTCCAAGAATTTAGCTAAATTGGTGTTTAGCATATTGGAAGTAGTTGCTCAAAATATATGACATTACTTATTACTAATACTATCTGAATTGTTTGAATAGAGTTCATGTAAATCCTTGCATTTCATTTTTTAATAATAATTTTAACTAATAGTACGATTTTCATTCAAGACGATGCCATTAAGTTTCTATTGTAAAATTGAGTTTTTTTATTCCTTTAAAACTTTATTTTTATTTTATTTACTTGCGCTGTTTTAGTTTAACCATTTTGGAAATAATAAATTATTATATAAAACAATATAATGCACTCTTTATCTTATACTGGCATTTAATTGGAAAAAAAAATTTGATTACTGCTGATTTCAGCGACAAATACGCAAAATAACTTCATTTCGTTGATCAAGTAAAAACAAATAAACAAAAACGTAATAAATTTCAAGTTCCATTAAACAAATTAAAAAAAAAACTGAAAGTATTAGTGACATGAAGTTTTAGTTAAAAAACATTATCATTAAAATTAAATGTAAATTCAACAAACAAATGAATAACTAAAAAATGTCAAATGGTTTAGTCTTGCGTTGAATTACATTAAGGAATATATAACTTTTTTCTGAACTTGTAATAGATTTTTGTATTAATAGCGTAATAGAATCGCTTAAATTTTTGCTACGTTCAGTTTAATTTTGAAACCTTGAAAGATTCATTTTTCACAAAATGCACTTTATCAAGATATTGTATTTTTAAGTTACAAAATTTATACATTCATAAATAAATGCAAGTTAAATATAATATTTTATAAATTAAAATATTAATTATATATTTTTTTTTATAAAGAAATAAAAATTATGCGAATAAACAGAACACCTGCGGTTTGTTTTATTAATCAATTGAGTGAATAATCACTCAATTTATATTTACTCAATTAATTTAAATTTATTGCATTGATTGAACCAATGAAGCAATTAAATGCTTTACGAATTATTAAATATTTGATTTTGTATAAATTGAACATATCCTGTTTCCTTTTCTTGTAATTCCTGAATTGCATTCGCAAATAAAGTTCAAAACAAAAAATTAAAACAAAAAATGTAGCGCAAAATATTTATATACATCGCTCAGGGATATAATCAACAAATTTGATGTGTTTCATCACTTTATGTTACTTATAGAAAACTGAAGGACTAGTTTTTATATAACCAGATATAAGGGTGTGGCCAAACGGTCTTGTCCTGTTATACTTTTATGCTAATAAAAAATGCATATGACTTTGTCAAAAATGTCATAGTGTCATTTGCATAAAAACTGTAAATAATGAATCAGAAAATTATTTAGCTATAGAGATTTTATAAACATTAATATGAGATAAGAAGTAATATATTATCACTTTTGATGAGTTGGATTTTTGAGCATGTGTATGTAACAGTATGTATAGAATAGACAAAAAAAATGTTAACATTTATTAGAGCAATAAACACCTAATAAAATTCCTAAAAATCATTTGCGTGCAGTTTTAATTCAATTACCTTTACGAAAATGATACACAATATTCTGAATAGATATTCGTTATTGAGATAAGTACCTTTTTAAAAATTATAATAGTTATTTCGAGCAAATTTCAGTGAATGGAGAAATTGCTTGAATAATTTAAATCTTAAATTATAAATAAACTGAAATAAACTTAGCGCTGTCGATGAAATACAAACTGATGATCTGCTGCAGTGCATAACCAAAGCGGCTGATTTTATGCAGACACCTACCAGCACAATACTTTGCCAACCATGGTTTGAAAGTGAATGTGGGGAAGCATGCAGAAAATCGATGAAATTCCTAACGCTGATGAGGAAAACAACATCAGATGTCTCCAAAATTAATTATCAGGCAGCAAATAAAGCTTTCAAAGAGATATGTAAACGGAAACACCGGGAATACTTCAAGCATCTAGAGGTAGTTGTAAATGAATTCTCTAGTCAGAAAACTAAATGGATGCAAGTCATACAAACCTATTAAGGTGGATATTAGTATACTGGCTAGCCATTACAAAGGTTTACTATATGAAGAAGAATTTAAAAAAAAATGCGTCAACGAATTTCGTAAATTATTTGACAACTGCCTACAATAATATCTTTAAATCAGAGAACGTTCCTGATAGTTTAAAAAAAAAACATATTTCCCATATTTAAAAAAGGCGATGTAAGCGACCCATCTAATTACAGAGGTGTCTCTTTTTTTAATGTATTCACAAAAATATTCACCTCTATTCTTCTTACCCGACTAACCAACTGGGTGGAAACGTATCACCTACTGAGCGAATATTAGGCAGGTTTTAGGAAATCATTCTGTACCGTAGACAGTATTTTTGTGCTGACGTCAATTGCAAAGGAGTTCCTTCAAAGTAAACGCAAATTATATATGTTTTTAGTAGATTTCAAGGCGGCTTTTGACACCATCGATAGGCGTAGACCCTTTCTGAAACTAAGTAATATTGGCATCTCAATGAAAATGTTAAGTGTAATTCAAAGCTTATACCTATATCAAAAACGAAACTGCGGTTTGCGATAGTAAATATCTATCAGACTGGTTTGAGTAAATCGTGGTATCAAACAAGGTTGTCGTCTAAGTCCACTACTTTTTGCGCTGTGTGTAGATGACATATCGTGTATTTTGCCTGGTGGTGTTTGTTTAGGTTCACAATGTCTTAAAGTATTAATTTATGTGGACGACATGGTCTTACTTGCAGAAGATGCCCAAACACTCCAGAAGATGATAAACGCTCTGCAACAGTTTTCTCAAACTTGGAACCTACAAATCAGCTGCGATAAATCGAAAGTAATGATTGTCGAATAGCAAGAATCGATAGTTGGAACTTAAATAGGGTAGAACTAGAGGTAGTAAATGAATTTAAATATTTGGGAGTACTAATGACGTTGAATATGAATTTTGCAAATCACACTCGACAAAAACTTTCCGACTCAAAAGTGGCAGTAAATAGTACCTGGAAAGAGAAATGTGTGTCACAGCACGAAATACAAAATTTTCGTAGGAACTATCAGATCGATTATGTGTTACGCAGCTCAAGTTTGGGGTTATCTACATTCCGATGATGCTGAAAAATAACTGCGGTTTTATATAAAGAAAATTTTTAAACTACCTGAAAATACACCATCCTATGCAATTCATTTCGAATCGGGCCTGCCAATATTATATACATTTTGACTATATCAATAAAGTAATGAAAATGCCAGATCACCGGCTGCCCAAAATCGTCGTAAAACACCTACTCTAATCCAGATCGCAGTTCTTTGCTCAATGGGATGCACTTGCTGAGGAATAAAGCAGTTCCCCTTATCCTACTGAAACAGCTTTGTGGCGTCAATGGCAAACACAAATACTCCAAAACATTGACTTTAGCTCGAGAACCCAATTTGAAAGACAAGCACGTGTAAGTAGTACAAGAAATACATATAAGCTGTTGGAGTATCATCTAAACAATCAAAATTATTGCAACGACAAGTTTGATACCGCGACGATATCATTAATTTTCAAGGCAAGGACAGAACTGATAAGGGTGATCTATGTCCCATACATACAAACAACTAATACTTACTGCACCATATGCAATATGTACGAAAAAGAAGACATCATTAATCTCATGGGACGCTGCCCTATCCTGTGTTAAGTTAGATGGTTCCACTGGGGCAAAACCATATTAACTCCATCTGAATGCTATGCTTCATTAAACAGCGCAGACTGGCGCAAACTAGTAGCCTTTTTAAGGGAAAGTTTAAAATACAGACGTGAAGTACTGATGGATTGTGGCGAGTGATTTCGACGTGTAATTTTTAACGTACCACTTCTCTTATATTATGTATATCTGTTATGAGTATTAATATACTTTTTTCTTTTTTTATTATTATTTTTATATATATTATGTATCTAATTCTCATATCCTTTTTTACGGTTTTCTTAATTTTAAATTTCTTCATCATTATAGCATTATATTAGTTATTATAATCACGTATATTTTTGCACTATCTTCGAATCGCATTTAAATTTTTATTAAGACAGGCAACTTAATAGTTATTGTCTTAAATAATCTAATTAATCTATCTATCAATTTTATGTACTCTTTGTTACGATCATTGTATTATAAAAGCATATCTGTAATAGCGATAAATTAATAAATTTTTACTTACTTACTTATTTAACTGAGCTTAATGCTAGGAATTCTCCTGATGAAAGCAAAAGCGATTTTGCCGAAATAAATATAGAAATATCCAAAAAATTAATGTTCAGTATAAAAGTTAATATTCTTAAGAAAATAAAACCGACTTTAAAATAAACAAATTAATTTTATTTAGATTTTATATTTTTTTTTTAATTTTTGCACGTGTTTTATATTTTCCATAATTGGTTACAGATTTACGAAATTTGCCTTAATGATGTGTATATTCTCTTTAAGTTTGGTTTTAGTTAATTCAGTGCATGTCATGCTGGCACTTAGAGTTTTCATTTCATTGTTCATAATATTTTTTTCTGTCTCCTAGTATTGGTTCTGGTCTCAGCCTTGATGTCGAAAATCAGAGTACCTATTAACATTTGGTTGGTAGACATAAGCAACAGTGGCCAAGTTCATGGAAAAAATGTTGCATGCAACATCATCTTAGAGACAATTGGCTTTGAGTTCTGCACTCGTTGTTCAGTTAATCGCTTGGTTGACTGTTGACTTTGTTAGATACCAAAACTATTGTTTTGTGATATTTATTCTTTCTAGAGTTAAGCTTAATTTGCAATTTGTTGAGCATTGACCACTTCTGGAAGGTATGTAGCTGTTCACTTGAACTATTTAGTCAACATAAATTGTTTCGCTTCACTCATATGGTTCTCGTACTATGATGCTGTTAATTTTAAACATTGTTACGATTAGCACAAAAAAATTAATATTAAATGTCGCCTGTCTTTTAAAATTCTAGAAAACATTACCTTACACTGCTTTGTAATGTTACGTTACTATCAATCTAATAGATGTCTTCGGACTGAATTTCTTTTGTTTGTTTTTTTATATTTTGTATCTGCATTATCTAACAACAATTTTGTTATCTTGCAACAATTTTGTTACTCGTTGTTTCACTTATCTTCTACCGCACAAGGTAGTGATTGTGCAAATCCGTTTACTGAATTTTGTAGCTGATATGCAAGTATATAGGTTTATAAATCCCTTATATGGCTATATGTTTACATATTTATTTAATGTTTTAGTAACATATTTTACCATCTGCCTGAGCTCAGATTGCGTGTTTGAATCATTTAAATTACAATCGGAAGTTTCACTAAATTGCCCACTACCTTACGTATTTTATTCTCGTTCAAATCCAATTTTATTCTGTATAAATTATATTTTATTTAGTTAAGCTTCTAATGCATATTTTTTCACTCGAATTACATTTGACTGCTGCACATATTCAAATGCTTTGTCTTCTAAAAATTATTTGGTTCATACTCCAGCTGCGCTACGAGACACCAATAAAGCGAAACCGTTTTTATGCATTTGGTTTCCCATTTGTGTTTGGAATAATGAATGCATTTAGTTAAAGTTTTTATTTATTTTAGGATATTCTATGTACATATATGCTTTTTGCAGTTTCAGAAATCCAAATAAGTAAACTGTAACAATATTTTTCATCAGATTAATGAATTTTGCTATTGGGAGTTTTAAAGACCAATTTTTAATAATGGATGGAAACCAAAACGAAAATGCTTCTTAATTTTGAAATTAGATCCATTTACAGAATTTTGATTCAAAACAAAAGTTTTCAAATATACAATATAAAGTCCTTAATTTATTTTACTATATATAAATTTTGGTAATTAATTAGATCACATTTAGTTGAATTACAGCCTAATTAAGGAACTAAATTAGTTACCCACAATTCCAATTTCAATTAAATCCATTATTGAGATTGACGAAATTACTTTCTAAACAGCAATAGTTAAAAGAAGTAAGTAATAATTGATGTCATTTACCTCAAATTTAGCAGTTATGCATATCATTCAAAATATCCCTTTTAATAAATATATTTGTTTCACACAAATAAAATGTCAGTGAAAATGTAAAATTTATAAAAAAAATATATTTTGAAGTATAAATTTTGTATGATATTAGAAATTTAATGTTTTGTTAAATACCTCAGCACCTATAAACAATTAAAAAATGGCTGCGGATTTTGAAGAAATAAATTTTCTAAAAAAAAGTATATGCTTAGCAACAAAAAAAAGATCCTAAGTGAAATTGAATGAAATTGAATTTAATGTAGCAATATTAACGGTAAAACAAACAAATTACTCGTATATATATCGACCGAAAGAGTTATTTGAAATCTAAGTGTTAAATATAAATTAATTCAATAACAATAACAACGTGGATTGCTAAAATTATAAAAGCACAGCAAAAACTGTAGCGATACTCTGTTATACTGACTTTGGCAAAATATAGACTTTTTGGGAAGTACAGCGAGCACAGCTCAATTTCGTAGATATTTATATTATTCGAATTTAATTTTAAGAAATCTTAGGTGCACAGTGTTTATATTTAACCAAATAATTTGTTTTGAAAAGTGCTTCTTAAAAAAATTAAATTAATGTTGCCGAATATTGTTAAGGAAGATGTATAATACGTAATTTATTAATCTATTCCAATAATATGTTTGCTTTATATATGTAAACAGTATTTTAAAGCTCTTATTTGATTGACGCCTTAACAAAACATCAATTTTGTCATAAATATGACACTATGTAGCACAATACTCAATTAATATCACGTGCTATAACTAATATATAAATGTCCAACGGCATCCAAAAAATCGACGACTATTTTGAAAGCATGAAAAACATACTTTCTCGCCATCCAAAATCTATTACCGAGAGTGTTTTCTATTCTTCTTTGACGGCTAGTTTTAAAGAGAACGATTACTAATTCCTAGACACAAGCTAATTCCAAACTTAAAGCCTTGTAGTGGGGGTTGCTGTACCGATTCTTACTTCATTACCCTATCCATCTTAAGTAACTATTCAGGAATGTTATAGAATCTCCTGCGGTTCATGTCATTTGGCTTTTATAATGACATGTTTTTCTGTACTGTAAATTATGCCAGAGCGATGCAAATTAAAAACTTTTAATTATTATTTTTGAATTGATCTTAAGTCATATAGAAATCTTGTATTATTATATAATATTGTATTATGTAATAATGCATTATCACTTTTGTATGTGATATATTAAAATTGACAGTTTTTCGTCATAACAAACGCATTTATGTTTTATTTTAGTTCGTTGAAGCTTCGATATATCTATTTCTACTTAGTTTTTCTTAAATATTTTTTAATATATACTATGTAATTTAATCTACTGATTGAATTTTTACCTTAATATTCCTTAAACCTCTCAATCAGTTAAACATTATCATGATCATTATGTTCAATGATTACAGCCCAATTACGCAATTGGGCTGTTTGTATTGCTTCTAAAGTAAATCGATTATAAAATATTGAGTATTATACGTATTGTTTAAGTATTCAATTTATTGTAATCACTTTGACATTTTATCAGTTGAAGTTGATCTTAAAAACTGATAAATGTGGTTTGTATTGTTTGTTTTGAAATTGACTACTTGGTTTTCTCCTCTTTAATAATAAACAGAATTCTGATTCTTTTTCGTTGGCTTTAATATATACATATTCTCACATTGTAACGAACAGCTTAGAGTGCTCCGCGAATAGCTAAGCACTTTTATCGCTTCACTGGCCCACGGTTTCGGCAACATGAGTTTGGTCTGTCTACAAGTGCTCAACTCTCTCCATCTATTAAGATGAAGTGAGGCTATCCACTTATAGACATAGACTGCCGTCATGTTGTAACTCAATGGCATTCTGGGCTCTGGGCCACAGAAATTATGACTTAATCCTTGCTTTGCAAGTTCATCTGCCTTCTCGTTTACCTCAATACCGATGTGTCCTTTAACCCACATGACCGTTACCTTATTTCCATGAGCACATTCCATGAGCTTCGTTACACATTTTTGAACTAAGCTGTTAGCTATGTATGTCTTTTGCGTGCTTTTGATAACTGCTTGATTGTCCAGCGCTATCAGAATCTTTTTCTGATACACCTGACAATCCAATAGGTGATCCAGAGCATGTGAGACCGCCATAAGTTCCGCCTGATATACGGAGACATATATTCCTAGATGTAGAGTGCACGTTATCTAACTTCACTTTTATTGTCTTTTGGGTGACTTTACACCACCTGACAAAGGACGCATATGTTATAATACGTCTCATCATCATCGTATAGATCCAGTGCATCGACTTTGAGGATATCCCCCATCGTCTTTCGCACTCTCTCTTACACTGAAATAGGGCTCTCTTCGCTTCTCTGATCTTTTCATCCACATGTTCATTCCAAGTCAGTTTATTATCTAGGATGGCACCTAGATACTTCACCGACTTTGATATACGAATGTTATTATCGAAAAGTTGTAATGGCTCCATTGACAGATTTCTGTTCCTCGTAAAGAGGATAGTGTCTGATTTCGTCGCATTGATGGTCAGGTCTTGTTCCCTACACCATTTATCGACGCATTTGAGAGCTGTACGGTTACTAACGAAATATGTATTTCGTTTGTCCAGGAACGATTTATTGGTGATCGCAACTAAGAATTGTCACCACCTTTGAAATGGTCACTAACGAAATGTTTAGTTCGTTAGCCGTGGATTTGGTATGGGTGATGATATCTCTATGTAAATATCGCCTTACCACTTGATCTACTAACGAAATGTTGATTTCGTTAGTAATAAATAAGCAATAGACATGTGTTTTTCTATTACTTAATAAAATACATGGGAATACCAATGTAAATTTCTATTCTACGGAGCTACTAACGAAATGTTGATTTCGTTAATAATAAACATGCAATAGAAAAGTGTATTTCTATTACCAAAAAAATGGGAACCGAAATGTAAATTTCAATTCCACGTATGTTTGGAGCGGTTTGTCTTCTAGCTTGTTACCTTGCTAACTGTCCGGAGAATGACTGCTGAAGAAATATGAATTTCTTCGCAGTATAATTGATCTTTGGTTAGAAATATGGATTTCTAACGCGCGTAAAAATTGCTTTGTTGAAGAAATGTAAATTTCTTCCTTGCATTTAGGCAGCACTATTAATACGATCTGATCGTAAGCTCGCTGTGGTGCTGACTGCATAGATTGCGATTTTGCTTCGCCTTTCATACTCGATCAGTGTGATGCATACAGTTGTTTTGTTTTTGTAACTGCAACGGTGTTTTGTCTAGAAATTGTGTTATTTTTGATTGTGGTTTAATTTAATTGTTGTTATATTATTTTATTATTGTTTTAATAATGTGATTGTTATTTTAGTTATTTTTTGTTTTTTTATTGTTTTATTGTTTTACTATTATTATTGTCATTTGTAGTGGCAGATCATTTGGTAGGTGCCAAATTATCTGTTACAACATTGAAAGATACATTTAAAGATACATTTGGTTAACAGATATGTGATATTTGATAGATTTTTCGTAAGTAAGGTACAAAGATAAATATTTGTGAAATTTTTTTCATTCAATCATTTTTACAAGTTTACAAATTTCGTTTTGTGGAATTTGATGGTATTTTTTTTTAAATTTTAAAGATCTTGCTTTCTAATAGAGGGTATTGAACAGAAAACCATAGTTTAAAATATTTGTTTATTAAATACTTTTTGTCTAGTTAGGAAGGAAAAATCAAATAACATTTTTCATACACTGACAATGGCACACATTTGTGATTCTAATTGTTGTTTTAAGCATTTTTGAAATATGGAATGTTTTTTACTAAAAAAACATGATTTTAAAACATGATTTTAATAAATTGTTCAGATGTTTTGTTTATAAAGTCATTGGAATTCGTTATGTATTTACGAGATATTTTGGTTGGTTTAATAAATTTGAATGATTTCATTTTGACTTATCTATAAGCGACATGTGTTTATATGTAGAACCATGGACCTGTGCAAGCATTCCATGCAAAGTGGAGACAGCCATATTATCATGGTGCCCTCAATACAGCTTCAATGCGGCCATCGTAATAATTTTTGTTTTATTTTTGCTCTTTAGCAACACATTTAATTATAAATAAAATATATATTGTATGAATATATTTGTGTACAATCATAAACATATTTCAAAACGTATATTCCTGTTGTTATATTTAGAATTTATAGAATGTGTTATTGCGAAAGTGACTATATATGTGTACTTTGATAGATACATAAAGTTGAAAACAAAAACCAAAAGCGTGGCAGCAACAAAAGATTATTGCGTATTATAACTTTATGCACAAATATCATTTAAAAATTAATTTATTGTAATTCTGAAGTTGTGTATAATTAATTTGATCTGCATAAGAGAGCCAAATATTGTGAATGTGCCTATATACACTCACTCGATAGTAGAGGTAGAAACATGGATAATAGAAATGTTTGTTCGATGTCGATGTTCGTATTTGGTTAACCAAACTAACATATTTTGTTGACAAAAGCTTTTATACTTGCCGTAGAATTTGCATTTTGATTTATTTTTCGTATTCATTCCATCCTGGAAATAGGGAATATAAAACTGGGATTTATACGGGCTGTTGGTAAAAAATCAATTTTCAAAGTATTAACGTACTTTTGTTAAATATTTGTATAATATTAATGAGCAACATTTAAAAAGGGACACATTTTCAAAGGATAAATGTAGGTTATTCTAACAAAATTTAAATTCATCATCATAATGCTTATCAGTAGCAACGAGTAAAGAGGTACCGTTCATTAATCAGCACCATTAACTAGTACCAAAGCTATTAGCTACACAATATGCAATAAAGCAGATCCTTTCATCCTTCTTTGTAATGCAAACAAGAATAAATTATTTAAATAAAAAGGTGTAATTTTAAATGACGACCCTCTTGGGTCGCGACTTTCCATGCCTGTTGACGTATTCTCTATTTACCGACTTTTTAGCTGATACACGATTTCGAAGGTGTTTAATGGTTCCATCATTATTT